TGCATGGCTTTGACCAACAGATGGCGCTGGCGTGCTGTCACTCTTGCGTTCCGCAGGCGCCGAGGAAGTTTTTTTTTTTTTTTGGATTAGGTTAAGTCATTATTATGAGAAAGTTTCTCATTATTACGAGAAACTAAGTCATTATTACGAGAAAGTTTCTCATTATAACGAGATACTAAGTCATAATTTTGAGAAAGTTTCTCATTATTATGACTTACAGAATTATATATTTTTATTTAGTGGCGGAAACGGGCTTCCATAAATATCACCTTGTAATGGGAAGGCACATTTTTTATACAATTTTGGATTATTGATTAGAAGGTGCTCCTAAAATTTTGAACGTGCTCCTAAATTTTTTTAAGTTTAAAAAGAAAAGTAAGCGTAGAGCCCTGTGTCTCTGTCATTTTCTCCGCTGTAACGTACATGCGTGTAAGCAGCCAAGTGAATGTAGAGTGAAGCAGCCGAGCGGAAAATAAGTTGCATATGCGCCGGTGAGATTTTTTTATTTTTTTTCATGCGTTGTTTTTTTAAATTTTTTTTAACCGTGGATATGCAAATGTTTACGGTATGATAAACCGTGCACGTTCAAACCGTGATAAACCGTATTACCGGTATATCGTTACAACCCAATTTTTCTGTATTTTGGATGAAAAAAATGCAGGCTTGGTGAGCAGAAGAGAATTCTTTAAAAACATTAAAAATCTTACTGTTCAAAAATGTTTGACTGGTAGTGTACTGTATAGTGCATTTAGAACTGAGCACATGATATGAACTGTGAGGTGCCTAAAGTTTCCCACCCCTATCAGAACTTTTGGCATTATGCTGCGTCTGTGTTGATAGGTGGCACTATGAAGCTCAAGACCAGTGATGCACCAGCCAGCAAATTTGGGAAAAAAAAGTCTCATTCACTGTTATTTTAGGATCATTGAGATACTATTATAGTTTTTTTTTTTTTTTTTTACTAAACTTTTATTTTTTGTGTTTTTGTAAATATATATTTGTTGACATAGTTATTTAAAAATGTGTATAATTTGTATTAATTTCAATTTTAGTTAATTTATTAGATTGGTAAATTTAAATGAAAATGAGAAATGTTTCCTTAATACTTTTTCAGTTATTGTTTATTTTATTTCAAGTAATGAAAATGCTTTTTTTATGGTCTTAGTTAACTACAATAAATCTGTTCCCAGTTTTACTATGCAGAGATGTGAACAGTCCTGACATTAGCTCTCTGTGGTGTTGTGGGTGCCATTTCACCTTAAATTACACTGGGAGATGGTTCCTCTTGAGAGTCGCTGAATTATGACTCTGGATCTTGTCTTCAGAGGTGTTTCCTAAGGTCTCTCGCTCTTTTTCGCTTCCCACAGTGGCCAGATGTGTTAGACTGTCCAGGTGAAAATGAACATGCATGGTGCCAGTGGAGGCTGTGACCGATCCAGAGATCGACGTCGCTCCAGCGATCGCTCTCGGGACTCCTCCCACGAGCGTGGCGAAGGCCAGCTCACACCCTGTATTCGCAACGTGACCTCACCCACACGCCAACACAACAGCGGTGAGAAAAGGCTTTTTGTCATTTAGGTCCGATGTGGCTCTTCATTTAAGTTCCATGGTTTGTTATCATGTCATGTCATGTGTGTCACATGAGCAGATCGCGAGGGCGGCTCATCGCGGCCCAGCAGCCCCAGGCCTCAGAGGATCTCTCCCAGTAGCAGCAGCAGCAGTGGGGTGGCTAGCAGCCGCAACAGTAGCTTGTCTAGCTCGGAGGGCACATACAAGAGCATGGTTCCCGGTGAGATGGTCTTCGTCTACGAGAATGTCAAAGATGGAGCCCGCAGCGTCCGCACATCAGAGAAGGTCACGCTTATTGTGGACAACACTCGCTTCGTGGTGGACCCCTCGATTTTCACAGCACAGCCCAACACCATGCTGGGCAGGTTAGGAGCAGACCAATCATCTGTCAAAGAGTTCTGTCGTCATTTAAAATGTGTGACCACAATATGAAGATTAATTTTGTCTGATCCGAGTGACATTTCAAAGATGGCCACTGAATTAAATGGCTTGCCTCAAAGTACCTTTAGAATAACTGTTTGAATAAGGGTTGTAGGGAAGATAATATTTTGTGTAGTTACATATACAGTGGCACCAAATAAAAAATATATTTGTGTTTTGAAGATTAAGTCTTATGGGTTTGGAGCAACATGAGGGTGAGAAATTGATAGAATTTTCATTTATGGCTGTACTATCCCTTTCTCAATATGACACTTTTGTTGAACCATTTAAGACTTTATTACCTAAAAAAGACATTGTAGGATCACACAAGAAAAATAACAAAGGAAAAAAATGACATGAGGGAGAGTAGACAATGACAGAATTAACCCTTTAATTTATCTCAGCCTTCAAATATTCTGTAATCTGTCTATTTTTAAAATCTGATATGATAAACTGAATTATTTTCATGAATTGGATGCTAACCAATAAATAGTTGATATTAAAGTTTTATGCTTTATGTAAATAATAATAATTCAATAATTTTAAATGCTGCAAGCAAACCCAAGCGTACAAAAGACTGGATATTCATTAATATTTGCTAAAGATTATTTTTAACTGTTATTAAATTATTGGTGTTTTTAAGTGAGAGATTATTGCTTGAAGTGAGTGTTTAAGAAAATATAAGTGTAAAAATGAGCATGAACAATTACAATCCATTTTCTGTCAAATTAAAAAAATCTGCGATACCAGGCAATAACTGATAGGGTATTGATATATTGTGCATCCGTAGTGTTTGGTTAAAAATGATTAGCACTTCTTCAGTTAGCTGACAGTGAGCAGCAGTGCACGGGAATCTGGCTTACATCCATGTTTGTCTTTAAGCGGTGCAGCATCTGTAATGGAATCTTTTGTGTTGTCTGTCCTTTCTGTAACTGGCAGGATTACTATAAATCTGGGATAATCCGTTGTCCTGATGGAATCTTCATTCCCGAGCTGAGGGAAGCGTGCGACTATCTGTGCATCTCTTTTGACTACAGTACTATCAAGTGCCGAGACCTGAGTGAGTAATTCCTGAAATGCCCTTCCTGATACGCGAGACTCACATTAAAGGGGCGGTTCACTGGGGTTTTTTCTAGGCTTGATTGTGTTTATGGGGTGCAGTCTAACATGTGTTAATGCTTCGTTTAAAAAAAAAAAATCATTATTTTTCACATTTACCTTTATTCCACACCACTCTGTCCCTTCTCTGAGAAACGGGCTGATCTTTTCCTGTTTTTTTAAGCACCACCCTCAGAAATAGGCGATGAGCTCCGATTGGTTAGCTAACCCAGTGTGTTGTGATTGGCTAAACCGCCTCTAGTGTGCGTCTAAATGTCCCGCCCCTCACCTCAGTGACATGTGCTCCGGTTGTATTTTAAACAACGGCGTCGTTAATATCGCGGAGCGATAATATAGAGAAGCAGAGGATATTATTGAAGATGATCACGCAGAACCTGTGCAAGCACAGCTTTTAAAGGGGTCATAGGATGCTACATGCACTTTTACAAGTTGTTTGAACTGAAATGTGTGTTGGCAGTGTGTGTACACAACCACCCTATAATGATAAAAATCC